AGAGCAGCTAGAATCTCAGGTGAGGGACCTGATCCTGCTTAACCCCTCCTCCTTGGAGGGCATGCCATCAGTCAATAGGCCATAAGGGTCTCTTACAAGTAATCACAAGTGTTCTGATGAAGATGATGGCTGTTAGCTCAGCAGACACAGCTCTCTATACCACAGGCATGCACCATGTGGGGCTTTGAATGAGAACAGCCTCCACAGGATCACACTTGAATGTTTAGTCCCTGGTAGGTGGAACTGTTTGGGAAAGGATTAGAGGATTGACAGAGGAGGTATGTCACCGGGAGTGGGCTTTGACGTTTCAAAGGTCCAAGCCAGGCTTAGTTTCTGTGCCTCCAATTCAGATAAGATGTGAGCTCTCAGCCACTGCCTGCCTGCTGTCATGCTCCACGCCATCATGGCCATGGACTCGCCCTCTGAAACAGTAAACAAGGGCCCAATTAAATGCTTCCTTTTATACGCTGCCTTGGCCACGGTTTCTCTTCACAGCAACAGGACAGTAACTAAGACACTCAAGGATGCCCAGCTTTTATGTGGGGATTCAGACTCAGATCCTCATCTTGTGTGACATGCACTTTACCAACTGAGCCATCTCCCCAGCCACGTTTTTTTTTACTGCCATACATGCAACAGCAGTTTTGGTTTATTTTAAACACTAACTTATGTTATGTAAATATGTTTCTGTTTTAATCCCAAGTGTGGGATTTTAGTTGGGCTAAAGTTTGTCCACAGCTCTTAATTGTGTCCTGGGAGGTATGATCTTTGCCAGCCGGTAATGGCTTTCTACGGAGAGGGGTGTGGCCTAGGACTCTGAGGATGTAAATTTGAGAGAAAAGGTGTGGTGCTAAGTGTTGGTGTGTGGCGTGTAGCTGTTTGGAGAGACCAGAGACCGATGGTGTGGCGGCTTGGAGCAGACAGATGGAGAGAAACACTTTGGGTACAAAGGCTTGGAGGAGATTGCGGGCTGCATTTGTTGTTGATTGGTATACACCCCCCCCCCGCCAAAGACCCCTCAACCCCAAACAGCATAGGGAAGTAAAGGGGTCTGCACTCCCTCTCCCCACTAACCTTTCCTCTCCTACATAGGATTGGGAGGTTGGAAGAGAGGTAGGGGCCTGAACACCCCAAATAAAGTAAAGTTTTAAAAGATGAATGCTACACATAGAAAATGGCGCAACATGTTGCTCAACGATACAGCTAAAATAAAAGATGCAGAATGAGTGAAAGGAAAAGGGCAGGAAGACGAATCCAGAGCTGAAGAGGTTCTGTGGCTCCGAAGTGCTGACTGAAGAAAGAAGGCCACAAGCTGGGTCTGGCAAAGATTAAGAAAATATCTTACGCTTGACAATCCTTTTTGGAAAGTCTAATGTCCACTTAATATGGACTGCCGTACATTTTGTGAGAGCAGATAAGTTGGCTATCTCTCCACACAAAAAAAAGAGAAATCCCGCCAGCTTCCTCCTGCCAGTTCAGCAGGGCACCCTTGGTCCTGTGGATAACTATGTGGAATTACTCTGAGACCCTTCCACACCCCAAGTCCTGATCCTTGAACTCAGACACACAAGTTGCTTCAGCAGTCACGGTCAAGAAACTGTTCTCTTTTAGACAGCATTGGGCAGCTGAGTGGCTGGTGCTGGCACACACAGCTCCTTGACACCACAACACCGGTCCTCCACTTTCTTTCCTGTTAGGTCAGAATATGAGTGACAATGGCATTACAGCAATCATCTATTACGGTATTCAATGAACACCATATTTGGGGGGGGGTAAGGTTTGCAACGCTTGGTTTTGTGACATACATCCTTGCTAGTTTCGACCGTCCTTGTTATTAATCACTACTTCCTCTAATTCCCATCCCACCACGGTTCCTCTGAGCCAGCAATCCACGGTGACTAGGTCAGCAGCTTTCCACCAGGTCACACGTCAGAGTCACCCTGGGACCCAGCCACACAAATTCTGATTTCATTGTTCTGGAGAAGGTCTCTGGCACTGACAGTGTTCAGGGGCGGGCTTATGGCCTCCCACTTTGGCCTATTATCTAGGAGTGAAAATGCTCCCTCCTCACTAACATCAGATGAGAGGCACCTGCGAAGGCACTGTGGACCGAATTTACTGCCCCACTATGGGGAACCTCCCTCCATTGTACCAATATCCCGGGGCGGGGCGCCTGTTTCCTCCTCCTCCAGGCAGCGCTGAACCTAACAAAGCGAAGCTGTGCCTGCTATTGTCAGATCCTCCACCGCATCTCAAGAGCAAAGCCAGCTTCCCAAGTCTCTACCTATCTGAACTTGTCCGATAGGTGCCAGACCTTGCACTTGACAGCCAGAGCCGAAGCAGATGACCCTGGGTTGACCCATGCTTTGTCTCTTGTAGCATGTATGCACAAGGCCATGCAAAGACAGCAAAAACTTGTGAGTTTACATGCACACTCACGTTCTCACCCACACAGCTACGTATATATTTTCCAAAGTCTGTTTCTATGCTTGGAAAAAGTCTAGACAGATACACAGCAAAATGTTAATAACAGTTTTCCCGGCATTGTAAGCTGATTTTTTTTTCCTTTTACTTTTTGAGACAGTCTTGCTGTGCAGCCTCGGCTGGGCTGGCACCAGACAAGCACCATGATGCCTGGCTAAATGCTCAATTATTGGCTTTTTTCATTTGTTTGGAGTTTTTGCTTCCTCTATGGTAAAATTTCTGGAGCAGTAAGTGCCCTGCTTTTATAATAAAAACAAGCAGGTAAATAACTGTCCCCACACAAAAAGGAAAGTAGGACAGCTCTACGCCAGACCTCCTGGGTGACCCAGGAGCATGGTCTTTTCTTTGGTTCATCTAGAAGTTCTCCCACCTTGACATCCAGGGACCCTGACTACCTCTCTGCTTATTAACTGGACGCCTGAGGATCCCACACTATGAACACATACTATCTGAATCCTCAGCCTAAACATCAAGACGCTGGCCAGCTCGTGACTGCTGTAGAAACTCCTGCGGCTCCCATTTGTGTGTGGGTTCGCCTTCTGTAGCTTCGTTTACTCAGTCAATCATATTCCAAAGATATTAAACGGAAAATTCCGGAAACAAACAGCTTACAAGCTTAAGATTGCACACCTTATCAAGTACTGTAATAAACACATGCCCTTTCTATGCTATGGGTCTTTCATTCCTTTGTCCAGTGCATCTACACTGTACATGCTACCAGCCCATTAGCCCCTTGGCAGTCATCTCGTTACCAGTTTGATTGTCATGGTATCGCCGTGCTTGATACCCATAAGGTTTGGTACCGTGTGAGAATTCAGGCATCTATTGTGATCTGGAATCACTCCCTGAAAATAGAGGGGGCAGACTTTTGTGTGGTAGAATTGCCCTTGCAAGGCCCTGTCAGTACTGACCACACGGATGCTGTGGCTCAAAAGCATCCTGTCCTGGCCAAGACATCCACAGCTCGAGCTCCCATTTCTCCCAGGCTAGTGAAAACGAACGGGGCAGGCTCTGCTGCAGGAGTCGTTGGCAAGGCCCATGCTGCTGGGCTGGATTAACTCCCAGGGTCAATGGCACAGCAGGCTCTATTCTCAAATCCTGATAGGGCACAAGGCAGCTGCATCACCATGGAGACAGGATCCTATAAACCCCACAGGTCATCCAAAGTGTTCCAAAGAGATATTCACAACTCCCAACAATAAAGGAAATTGGATGTGGAGAAGAAAAACGTTTGGTCAACCCCTGGAAGAGAAACCTCCTAAGTACACTCAGGGCAATGGAGGAAGGGGAAATACAGACCACAATATGCTCCCAGGTGTGAGGTGATTAAGTCTGAGGTTGCAGTCTTCCTATCCACTTATGGAGGGTGTACAGGCTGATCTCTCCTAAATTCCCTAGTTTGCAAATGAGGAAACTGAACCCATTGCCTGAAACCACAGAACTCATGAGCAAAAGACCTGGGGTTGTATCTCCCAGGCCTTCGGTGTGAATTCTGGGTCTAACCTGAAATCAGTCCCTCATTCCTTAGACCTAGCAGAACTTTGGGGTTTCAAGAAGCTAAACACGCCTTGAGGCATTTGGTAGAAGTGGAGAATTGCTGCCAATCCCAGCCAATTTTACTCCGAGAGATTAATAGCGCAAAGGGCCTCGGGCAGAAGCATAGCGGTAGTCATGGAACAAATCCATGATGTGAATGAAGTCACATCTGTTAAACTTTCTCTGGGATGGGGCAGGGAATTCAGGGCAGCTACCACGTTACTGTCCCAGAATGTCAGTTTCATCCTCTTGCAGCTTAGCGCTACCTACGCCCTCTGAGTATTCCCAAACAGAAAAGAGACGGCATGGCCTGAGGATACAAGGTCGCAGGCGCCTAAAGGTCACGGCAGGCTCTAACCAGGACCCCTTTCTCACTCCTGTTTTCCGGGAAATCGCTAGGCAGAGCTCAAGTGGGGACTAGAAATTCTCTAACAAACGTAAAGGAGCGAGGAGGCTGTGAGGCCCAGGGTCAAAGGTGGCAGCCGCTGTGACTGTTTCCTTGTCCCTCACCTGCTGAAAAGCCGGCAGCTCCAACAGGAACTAGGCTGACTACACGGCTTCTGCCCCGCACCACCTACTGCTGTGCCAGACTGCAGCCAAAGGCGCCCTTCCCACCAACCTCTCCTCACCGCCCTCCACCCAAAGCCAGAGAGAGGAAGGCGGTTCCCAGCCTCGGATCCGACCATTGGGCATCTCTCTTGTTTTGCTCTGTCCCTGGGCCCACCCGCCTAGTCCTAACTGCACCACAGGCACTGACTAGGAGCTCATCCTCTCGGGGCAGAATGTCAACTTTGAAGCGTAGGATTCAAGAGTCACCCAGTTACCAGCTCTTTAATTTCCGAGGCTTTCTTAGGTTCGTTTTGATTTTTTTTTTTAAACTTCCCCGCCTCTCCGCCCCTTGATAGCCCCTTCTCCTCCGGCACCGCCTCCTCCAGAGGAGGACGCGGCGTCCCACGCGCGGACGCTTCGCCACCACTCACAGAGGGTTCCAGCGCTCCGGCAGGCGGCGGTGCAGCGAGATGCGGTCGCTCAGGTAGATGTTGATCTGGTGCAGCTGCACGCTCTCCTCCTGCAGCCGCAGCTCCTCTCCTTGCAGCTGCAGCCGCACCGCCTCCCCCTGCGCGCCCAGAGCATCGGCAGCCAGCGGCGGCCTGGGCAGCACCGGCTCGCGTCGCCCGGGGCGAGGAGTGTGCGGGCGTCCAGAGTTCACCGGCCGGGCCTGGGTCTCCACCATCCCCGACCCGCTTCGAGCCCTCAGCACCGCGCCCAGCCCAGCCAGCGCCAGCAGCGCCAGCAGCGCCTCCCGGCCGCGCCGCAGCCCCCGCGGGCAGCGCCTCCGCACCACGCGTCCCCACATACACCCGCTCGCTGCGCCGGCTGCGCTCCACCGCCTCGGGCTGGACCCGGATCCCGGAACCGCACTCGCCCCGCCCCCGGCCCGCCCCACCTGCGCTCCGCCCCCTTCCTGAATGCAGCGGCCCGCGCCCACCTGCCCGTGCCCACGTGGGTGAGTACCGAGCGTGGCGACCCTGCTGCACGAGTGTAGTCTGAGCGTACCATTCTGGGCGCTGTGGGTCCACTTCTCTGAACTTACGTGATCCTGGCACGGTCGCAAATGGAGGGTCCTTAACTTTAACCACTACGTGTACAGGATGTGCTAGCATGAAAACTGCAGGCGGCCCTGGGCGGCACTCAATGGAGCCTCGTCTGAATCCGGTTTTTCCAAGCTGTGTTTTCAGTCTTCGCTTTAGGGACACCTGCACTGCGCAGGCCCATACTCCTTGTATTCCATCCTTACTTGTGCACAAGTAAGTCAAACACCCTAACACAGCACAATCCGCTTACTACTTCCAAGCTGAGGAGTGGCACTAGGAGACGTGTTTCTGTGAGAGTGAAAACTGTATGTTCAGCAAAACAAAAAACAAACAACAACAAAAACACTGAGTTGAGGTGGTTTAGGCAGTGTCACCAGCACTGCAAGTTAGGATGGTTCACCGAGCACAAAGCACACACAGTGTATGCTCAGCACGGAGCCCAGTGAAGCCATTTGATACAGCACGGACTGCCGGAAACACGGGATTCCTTGCGTTTTACTTTGAATTGGGTTTTGATCTTTGCATAGTCAAAAGCTTTTTACTATTGCTGAATATTTCTTGATCCTTACATTTAGTTATGTCACCCCACATGGGGTGCAGACCCACGTTTTAGGGAGCTGAGTTTTAAGCAGTTGTATTCCATGACAGCCTCACCCCTGTGTCGGGGTTCTACTGGAGAAACAGAACTTGGAAAAGAGAGAGATTAAGTCATTCACTATGAGGAATGACAGACCGTGGTGGATGCTGGCTGGTCAGTCTTCCTGAGGTGGGCCATCAGGAAGGGTGGACTGGACTGCAGGGCATCAGACATCCTCAGGAGAAAAGCTGAACTCCTTTTCTTCTTCTCCAAAGCAAGCTCAGATGACCTCCATAGATCTTCCCACAGAAGCAGCCATAGCCTAGCACTTACAGACATCACCTGATACAGGGAACTATGTCTTAGCCACGCCACACCTGCCCTTACAACAGAAAGAATTGGGGTTGTGGGGGGCGGGGAGACACTTAGAGTTCTACGACTCCAGATTGACTCTGGTGCACACTTGTGATTCCAGCACTTGGGAGGCTGAAGCAGGAGATCACAAGTTCCAGGCCAGCCTGGGAGCATGAGTACATCGGGAGACCTTCTGCCAAAGCAAAGAAAACAACAACAAACAGCTAGAACTTGAGACAGGGACAACCAGCGCTCAGTATGCTCTGAAGGGCAGACTCAGCTCAGGTAATGATTTTAATTCATTGAGAGGGATCTGAAGCAGGATGAAGCCCGGGCAAGTGCAGGGAGACTGATTCCAAAACAGGACAGATGTGATGAAGCGTGCCGAGAATCCCAGCAGTTGGGAAGCTGAGTCAAGAGGATCAGTTCAAGGTCATCCGTGGCTGTTTAATGAGCCTGGGCTATGTATAAGGCCTGTCTCAGGAGAAAAAAGATACACACACACACACACACACACACACACACACACACACACAAACACACACGAAGACCAAGCAGGAAGGTAACAAGCAGGTCACTTGGACGTGTTCCTGAAGCCAGAGCACTGGTATTTACTGTGTGATATTCACTTGGAGCTTCCTGGTTAAACATCAGTGCCCTCCTTGGGAGCTGGCAATATAACTACTGGTCACCAAGTACAATGAGCGGCATTACAGGAAAGAGGATAGAGTGAGGTGTGTTAAGAACCTTTGTTGGCCAGAACCATGCTCCTCTCGCTCTCTCTTGTTTCTTAGTGATGGGGCCTTAAACAAACTTTAAAAAATATACACATATATATAATTTCACTCTTAGACCTAAGCTGGTCTCAGACTTGAAGCCTTTCTGCCTCAGCCTCCAGAGTTATGATTGCTGGTATTTGAGCCGCTGTCACGCAGAACCTTAAATTGCTAATTTATTTGATTTTTCTTTTTAATTTGTTTCTCTAAAAACACGAGGGCATAGGTTTTCCAGCTTCTCTTACAGCTAGGTCTGGCCATGTGGTCATACATGCCATCCATGGGCAACAAGAGCTGGTGTCCATGCACTTCTTGAGTGCAGTACCTGACGACCTCCAGCTTTTCCGCCCTGTGGTTTCAGCTACCTGAAAGCATCTTCAGTTTGAAAATACTGATTTCCAGTCAGAAATTCATAATTTTCAAATTGTAGATCTTTCTGAGTAAAATGATGACGTCTTTGCTGTCTTTCTCTGTGCTGTCTGGAGCATGATTCATCTTCTTGTGTAGAGAGTTCACACTGTACATACTACCCGCATGTAACTTGCTTGGTACCTGTCTTGCTTACTGGATCAATAGCTACGGTACTGGGTGCTGCTGCTGCTATTCAGGTCACCCAGTGCACTTAATGATGTCTCCAAATGCAGAGTAGTAATGCTTTGGTTCAGAAAGGCCGAAGAGAACTCATGAAGTGCATCCTACATTTCAGTTCTCAGCTAAATCCAGAAAGAAAGAAAGAAAGAAAGAAAGAAAGAAAGAAAGAAAGAAAGAAAGAAAGAAGATTGCTATGATATACAATAGAATAAAATATTTTCAGAGAGACCATGCTTATTTAACATACATTCATATAACTGTTTTTTATTATTTATTGTTAGTCTTAAGCTTTATCATAAATAACAAACATGATAACCTTAGCACATATACTATTCACTACTTGTGGCCGTTAGTCTTCATTGTCAACTTGAGTGGGTTTAGAATCACACAAGAGTCACTCTAGGGCACGTCTGTGAGAGTGTTTCCAGAGAAGTTTGAAGGAGGAGGGAGGAGCCACCTTGAATGTTGGTACCAGTGTCCAACGGACTGATGAGGGAGAAAGCTAAGAGAACACAAGTATCCCCCTCTCTACTGCCAGACTGAGGGTGCAATATGACCCACCAGTTCATATTCTACTCGTGTCTTTCCTTCCATGAAGCACTGTGATGTTCTGAAGTGTGAGCCAACCTTCCCTCCCTTAAGTTGCTTTTTCACAACTATGAGAATAGTAACCAAAACAATTACTATCCAAGGTTTCAGGGATCTATTGGAGATTGCTTACTGTGTCCTGCTAATAATGGGGGAAACAGCAATATCCTTTTTAAAAAATTTCAATGCTACGATTTATTGCATTTTCCTGATTGCAGACAATCTAGGGCAATAATGATAAGCAAAGTCAGCAAGCACCTTTCCCTCATTTAACCAGATGCAGCCCTCTGCATGTAGATTGACTTAATTACTTGAGTTGAAAGCTGACCACAGCGAGTCTTCCAGTCTTTCTAATGTGAGCTTTCCATGCGTATCCTCCCTATCTACCAGGAGCTCCAAAGTGGTGTCTGTCAATCCCTTGGAGTTTGTTAACCCAAAAACTCTCTTCTAAGGCTGTCTCCCTTCTTGCAGACCCAGCAGCGAGCAATCAAAACTGGCTCCCAAACATTGTTTGAAACCCTTCTGTCTTTTTCATAGCAGAGGCTTTTTGAGAGAAACAAAAGCAGCAGAAAAAAAGCAGGGAAACTTAGAAGGATGTGAAAAAGGAAAAGGATCCCCGTGGTAGTTTAAATGAGATGGCCCCACAAGCTCATCTGTTTGAATGGCTTTTGGTCCCTAGTTGGTGGAACTGTTTTGGGAAGGATTAGGTGGTATGGCCTTGTTGGAGGAGGTATGTCACTAGGGTTAGGATTTGAAGTTTTAAAAGTCCACACCAGGCCCAGCCTCACACACACTCACTGCCTCCCACTTTTGGAGAAGATGTACGCTCTCTGCTACTACTTCAGAGCCATGCCTGCCTGTCTGCCTGTTGCCCTGTTCCCGTGATGATCTTGGTCTAACCCTTTGAAATTGTAAGCAAGGCCCTTTCTAAGTTGCCTTAGCATTAAAACAGTAAGACAGAGGTTGGTACCAGAGAATGGGATATGTCTGTGACAGGCCTGACCATGCTGTTTGTTGGAGAAAGATGAAAGACATTGGGACTTTGGACTAGAAAATTGGTTGAATATTGCAAGCCATTCGAGTAGGAGCTTGGAAGACAGTAGTGCTGAGAGCTATGTGGACTACAGAGGCCCAGTTCAAAAGGTCTCAGAGGGAACAATATTAGCAACTAGGTTAGAAACCATTATTGTAATATTTTGGCAAAGAATGTGACTGCTTTCTGCTCTCCTAAAAATCTGCTCTAGGCTAAATAGAAGACTTTGGGACTAATGTCATTGGCAGAGGAGATTTCAAGGCAGCCTCGTGTTGACTGCGTCACGTGGTTATTAGAGATCACGCTTATGCAGGGAAAAGTGAAATACAAAATGTACAATTTGAGGAGAAAAGTATCAGCTACGTGGTTCTGGCTTAAGCTTCAAGGAGGATACAGGACCAAAGGGGTTGTCAAGTCTTCCTCTGTGGCTACGAAAGGCTGTTGGTGTGAGGCGAGTGAAGGGTGAGTCCCTGCATGGAGGCCCAGAGAGGCCATTCCATGAAGCTGTGAAGGTGAAGCCTGCCTTCTGTTGGACATCCCGAGATGCTGGAGACGTCAGAGCCATAGGATGTTTGCCAGGGAGAGGTATACACAGGGAGTGGAATCAGCCCAGAGAAAGAAGTATGTTTCAGTCAACAGAGCTGGGAGGAATGAGCCACCTAAGCCCTTTGACAACAGACATAGATAGTTACAGGACTAGGAGTTTGTCCTGCTGGGTTTTGGTCTTAACTTTGGTCTAGCATTTCCTCACTGTGCTCCTCTAGTCCTCCTTTTTGGAGTGGTAATGTATATTTTGTGTCATTATATCTTGGAAGTATGTAGTTTGCTTTTTCCTTTTGATTTTTATGGAGGAGGGTGCAGTTAAGAGATTGCCTTGAGTCT